TTTCAATTACCCTGCCACCTCTTAATATTAATTGCGCATCCTCGTGGAAACATTTGAAGCAATTTGCGATTTGAGAGAGCTTGCGCGTAAAAGTGACGGAACAGGTAAATTACTTTCACTTATGCGGCCACGCACGCTCGCTTGCAACGAAAACGATCGTTACTTTGTATCTAACGATAAACCGAACAAGCGTCGAACAATACCAATCGAAATTTATATAGTCGATAAGAGAAACCGCGATAGAATTACGGTTCCTATTTCCCGCTTAACGATGTAATTCAGTTTTAGGAAATTCCGTTATCCAAGCGAGAATAAACGTTCGATTTACGTCCTATTCCATATGAATTATTTAGGGACACGTGCAAGTTCGAAAAGCGTCGCTATAAGGAAAAGAAGGCTGTAGTAATCGTCCTTTGAGCATAAAGACGCTTTACTTCGGCGACCACGCGCGCCGTTATACTTCCTGTGTAATTAGTTACGGCAACGATAGAATTTAATCGAACGTCGGACAAAGTATCGCTCGGATGCAGCTCGAGTCGTGGAAAAAGAAAAAAGAAAAAAAAAGCCGTGCCACTTTCGCAAAACTTTTTCTGCTCGGGGAATTGCTGGATTATTCGAGAGGTCGATTGTTCGGCTCTCGTTTACGAGCTACGCCGAAACCTTGTCCGCGTTATAAGAATGCGTATCCTCGATACGACTTTACTCGGCTGCGAGCGACCGTAATTCGACCGAGGAGCAACTCTTTTTACGTTGCGTTTGAGACATTACGCGATGCAACGACGACTTTCGGGATTAAAAAGCGATCAGATAAGAGATTATAGAAATTAATAGCTAAATTCCACTAAATCTAAAGATCGTAGTAGGCCTGTGAATATTTGAAATTTGATTTTTCGCTAATACCGATGTAATCGCAAAGAAAACTAATTCTTCTAGGCTTCTAGGCTTGTACGCTGGTTGAAAAGAGTTGGAAGATGAGTGCTGGCTATCGAAAAATTATTACCTTTCCATCTATTTCCTAGCGATTAAAAGAGAAGCGTAACATCCGTATTTCCTTCGTTGTAATTATAAAAGGACGATCGTGATCTGGAATCCCTCGCGCCACAAGGAAATTGCCATGTTGCGTCGCGACGGTAACGAGAGAATTGTCATTTCCATAGATAGACCATCGTGTAATTGCAACAGTTCCGTCATAGTAGATGATCGCTATTCGGATAAGCGACAATTATATGCGAGTATGTAATAGCGACTTTAAGGTTTAACGACGATAAGGTTGCAGGCTCGGTTGCGGACGAAGGGTTAAATCTGTCGACGTTTCAAAGTGGCAAAGTGGCACGAAGAAAGTTTCATTGTGCGTATACACGGTGGCTGACGGAAATATCGAAACACGCGCGATGAAATGTTCGTAGCATTTTGTGGTATCGCGCGTGTCGTACGAAACTTGCCGAAATTTTCTTAGCCTCGAACGCTGTTATACGAAACGATCGGTTGGACGCGATAAAGTGGCATTAGCTGCCCTACGTGGCGTCTGCTTTCGCTGCGTGTGCCGTTTAGACGACTTTCTTACGGCGCGACGCGTTCTTCGTCCTCGACAGAAACGAGAAAGAGAAAAGCAAACGGTTGAAGGAAGCAAACGGACGAAAAAATGGCACCTCGTCGATTCGGAAGAGAAGAGAGAGGCGTGTGCAGGAAGTGGTACAGCATTGCCGGAGGGAAGGACGTCGAATCTAGGTCGCGATCGTGTTCCTCTCTTCGTGTTTACGCAGATATGTAGGCACCCAGTGGTTCTCGTTCGCGCCAGTCGCGCGGCAAATATTCCTGTAATATTTGCGTAAATATCGTTGACCCGTTTCCTTCTTGTACGATCGACGCAAACAGTTCTGTGTATCGACACCGGATGCTTTCGCCTGCTCCGTATTTTCTTCCAGGATTTGGTCGAACCGAACTTAGTAGGTGTCGATGGTCGCGTTGATTCCGCCGTATTGGTTTTAGGAATTTGGATTTATATCGTTGAAAACCGTGTTCGCTGACATTAGTAATCGTAGACGCGATCGTTTTTAAAAAAAAGGAAATCCGCTGTACGATCGATTCGAGAAGAACAACGGTGCTGGAAACGTCTTCGAACTTGGAACGCGTATTTTAGTATTTGGTATTTAGTATTTTCGTTCGCGATCGACATATTGTACGTTATATATTATAAAATGTAAAGTAAAACGTCGGTTATTGGCTAACTCGTATCGGATCGATGATAACTTGTATTAGAATTTGTATTAGAAAAGGAAGAAAAGTTGAGAAAGGGGACGAGTGGCGGCGTTAAAATTGCATCGACCGTCACAGAACGAATCTCTGAGTAAGTAGGAGCGTTAGAACGGTTTTCACCGAGATTTTCATCGACCTAATTCTTCCTCGGAAATCAGGCCGCGCAAAGAGAACTCGCACGATCTCTAAACGACGCTGCAAGTTCGTTAAAAGTCGTCTACTTTCTGCAGTAACATCCGGCTGAGCATACGGCAGGAAACGTAATTAGAAAGCTTCGAAGAGGAGTTATGGCATCGTTCGCGTTATCTATCAACCGGTAGAAGCGTATTTTATAAATTTCTACCTACCTATCTGTCTCGTATACGCGGGTGTGTTGGAAGTAGTATAAAAACGGCCTGTTCGAACTTCGAACGATTAAGAAGAGTCGAAGATACGTATGATACAGTGGCTCTCTGGGCTTTCTAATCGATTTTCAACCAACGCGTGAAATCCTCGCGAATTACGAATGAAATTCGATTTACTTATTTATGTACTTTTACGTGTCTATTATTCCAACCGGCTGGCGAACCTTGCGATTAATAAACGTGCTTTCTTCGTAACGCGTGTAATCAGGATTATAGCGAACCTCTGCGAATCTACAAATTGGATATCCAGTTCGTTCAATCGGTCTCGTATTATCCTTGGTGCTTCAATTTATATCGTCGAATAGTTTATTCGCGCGATTTGTTAACAGCCGTGAACCCTTCCGTATTGTTCGTGTCATCAGCTCCCGACGTGAGTTCCACGTGCTCCGGTTACGTCCTCCGTACAATTGTCCTATGACGCGATATAATTCGATACAACTTGGCGCTATACGCTTTGACCAACTGATACTAACTAACTAATAATACGATATAATAATACGTATCTAGCTTTAGCTAGATTGGCTAGATTGGCTAGATTGGCTAGATTGGTCGAAACTCGGGTAAAGTAATCGAACGAATCGAGATAACGACAGATTTCGAGATAAGTCTAGTCTTTAATGAACTTTCCTTCGCGTCTCGATTTTTACGACGATCGATCGCCTCGATTCGTTTCGACAGTGGCAAAACCACGACAGTTGATAGTTGCGAATCACTGGGAACGCTGGCGCCGCGGTTACACTCTCGCTTTCGAAATAATAATTATTTAATACTGGAAGTCGTGGTGAAATGCGAGCGACCGGTTTTTGGCCAGCCTCTTTGGTCCATCCCGACCATCCGGTACCCGAAAGCCAACCTCCATACCTCGATCCATGGGACAGGCTTTCCATAACAAGCAGCGGTATCGAAAGCATTTTCGAAAGGCCGATCCCCGGTCATCGAAAATTAGACTGGATTTTACGTAACGGCACCGGGTAAACAGACTGCTCGCGCTGTTGTTGCATCTAGCGATTTCTGCGGGGCTCCGCGCGATCACCACGATCGTCACATCCTCGCCAAAATTACGCAACATCGTGCCTGCTCCCGCTCGTTTACTCCGTAATCTTTTATGCAATTTTATGTTTTCGCCAAGAGCTTGCGTTCGTTTATATCCATCGTACTGGTTGCAACGATCCGTACGTTGAAGATAAGATTTACATATATCTACACGTGCCGCGTAAGGACGAAAAAAATACAATAATAACAGACGAACAGAGGAGTCGGCATCTACGCGGTAATTCGTTTCGACTACTAAGAATTATGCACGAGTACTTTGTTGCTGTAACGTGTCACGAACTCGAAAATATGTTTTCCAGCGAATTTCCGCGCGTGACAACGTGGCGTTTAGATTCTACGGTCGGGGTTTTAATCTTCTAGCTTCCGAGGGAAAACAGTTCAAATTGATCATGGTTTCTCATTTCGACGCGAGAATTACCATTTAGCGGAGAATACGTATTTAATCGGCCAGTTATTCTCCGTTCAACGTAGGTGACGAGTATTTGATTCTTACGGATCGTCTTCTCACGGTTCCGAGATCTCGAGTTACGCAATGTTTTGTAAGTAAACTTCTCCGTCCAGTTTTCTAAATTCTCAAATCATCTAAACCACTCGCTGGTCGTTATAGTTCTCGGCGCGACGCGAAATCGACACCACTCGGTGGATAATTTGATAGAGTGGATCGTTAACAGGCTACTGTTACATTTTATCCGGAGTTTCCTTTCGCGGTGCCCTATTATTTTATCATATTCCACGACTACGCGGGACTACCTTGGGACTATCGCGGACGGATCGAGCGAAGCGTCTGATCGTATCTCGCCAATTCTACTTAGGCTTCGCGAACGCTTCTACTTACGCTCGTTCGTTCGTTCGTTCGGCTCGTTCTTTTCTGGCAAATGAGATTTCTTCGCGCAGGTACGCTAGTTAAACGAAAGCGGTGTCGATCGATTAAACGCGATCGACGAATCAAATGATTTCGAGATAATACGTATAAATAGAGAATCGTGGCGAAGAAATCGACTCGGTACAATTTGAGTTAAAATAGAATAGAATAATTGGGAGTGGATCGAACGTTGATCCAATCTACGCACGAAAAATCCCAATTTAATCTTCGCGAAAGGTCTGGCAGTTTTAAGGCACGTTTGAACTTGAAGCCGAGTTTTCTCGACGAAAAAGATCTCTCTCGCGATTCCTGACTCCTTTCATTACCCGCACGTCAATTAATTAATCTTGGGTCGAAGAGAGCGTTTGCAGCTGCTCTCCTCTAACGATACGAGGTCTAAATCGATCGTTTTGTTTCCGCTGCAGGATGAGGAGGAAGAAGCAAGGAGTCACCGAGGGCGGAGAAGCGTCGATTCTGCTACTCGTCGCATTGACTCCTGTTATCTGTTCCGCTGGAATCCTGGACCCTTGGCAGTGGGCACGTAGCGATCGAATCGACGTCAACATTCCTTGGTTGCCGTGTAATTACATTTTGTCAAACCCGATGTAAAAGATGGTTCGGGCAACCGTTTCGCTTTCTATATTTTATTTATTATTATCGTGATTTTATTTCGTTAGTCGAGAACGAGACACGATGCTACGACGAGCTAGGGTGCCTGAACATAACCAGAAGCTGGTATCACCTTATCCATAGACCGCTCAACGTCTTCCCTTTACCACGAGAAGTCATCAATACGAAATTTATTCTATACACGAACGATAATAACGTCGAAGTGAGTAAAACAGTACATATTTACTATTATAATTCTTTCCAGTCGACTAATTACTACTAAAATTACAACTTGCGGTTAGACCTTTTTAATTCGTAACGTTGTTTCGTTTAATGGAATATTTTGTCCGTCTCTTCACAGGGCCAGACCTTGTCAGCCGCGAAAGACAAGTCAATAAAACGGTCGTACTTCGATCCGAAAAGGAAAACAAAATTCATTATACACGGATTCATAGATACACCGCTCAGCAATTGGGTCAACGTAAGTGAATCGCCTCTTCGCTTCGCTCTTTCGCTCTTTTCATTTTCCTGTATCAAGGAAATATTTTTTACATTAATTTTACATTAAGGAATTATTTTGTTCGAATAGTAAGAATATTCGCGCGTATCGATGTTTGGAGCAAGATGTATTTCATAATTGAAAATCGATCGTGAAATACGATTTTATTAATTTTTTCGCGCATCAAGTAGTAGGGGCGGTAAATGTTTCAAATTAATATATATTTGATAGTTAAAAGTTGATACAACGGGGTTGAAAGTTTATTTACATGTTTGATACATTTAACGATAATATTTCTTAGTTTACTTCGATTTACTTGCATTCCTATCTGATCCGTTGTTGAATCGTCGCCACAGGAAATGAGAAACGAATTATTGAAGCACGACAACTACAATGTCATCATAGTTGACTGGGGTGGAGGAAGTTTGCCGCTTTATACTCAAGCAACCGCCAACACGAGACTGGTGGGCCTCGAAATAGCTCATCTCCTTAAACACCTGCAGGTAAAATGAATTTCGCGAACGAGCAAGCTAGCTGTTCTCTTCAGAATCTTTTTTTCTTTTCTTTTTTTTTCTGAAAAGAAAAGAAAGAAGAAAAAAAGGAAAAAAGTGACTTTATAGCACATTGTGACGTTTAATCTGATTCTAAAGCAAACTTTTAGATCGCTTAGATTCGTTTCTAGGTTTTATCGCTTAATTTACGTAACGTTGGTTTACTCACGCTTGGACAAACTCGTAATGTACGTGTAGCATATACAGCGAATACAAAAAGTATTTACACGTGATACAAATTAATTAGTATCATATGTTGTTATATTCTTATTATTTATTTGGTTTGTGTGATTAGAAGATGCGAACATCTCTAAATACGTATTACGATATTAAACGCTATGAAACTGGAATGTCGAAGCTCGTAAAACGTCGATGCTGCATTGGGAGATAAGAAAACGAAATGGAAAGATCAAAGTATTGTTTGTTGAAACGCAGACAAATTATGGACTGGACCCAAATGACGTGCACCTGATCGGACACAGCTTGGGGGCACATACCGCGGGATATGCAGGAGAAAAGATGGGAGGGAAGGTTGGTCGTATTACGGGATTGGATCCTGCAGAGCCCTATTTCCAAGGGATGCCCAGTCACGTAAGACTGGACTACACCGACGCCAAGTTGGTCGACGTCATTCACACCGATGGCAAGAACTTCTTTTTCCTAGGTAACAGAAAAATATGTTAACGTGGATACCTACTGATCCCGCTCTTCTAATCCGATTATTAATAATTATCAACTTTGGTTTCTTGTTTCGCTATTTCAACGTTGAAAGTTAACTACGTATATGTTACGTTTGTTAAGACGAAGCGGTTTTTACTTGGTAAATTCTACCGAAACACAAAGTACGATGTAAAAGTTGAAAAGTTGAAATAAAAAACGAACGACAAGCAGGATTATTAAACGAAATAAAATCTTACGGACTACTAAAGCAACACTCTAATCGTTCTGTTTATGTAATCGTTCTATATTCTATAAACTAACTTATCGCGCGACAAGGGCTTCCCGGATATGGAATGATTCAACCATGTGGCCACCTGGACTTCTACCCGAACAATGGCAAGGAACAGCCAGGATGCACGGATCTCAGCGAAACTACCCCTTCCTTGCCCTTAACCCTGATCAAAGAAGGTCTGGAAGAAGCGTCGCGAGTACTGGTTGCCTGCAATCATGTGCGTTCCATAAAACTCTTCACCGAGAGCATCAACTCCAAGTGCCAATACGTGGCCCACGAGTGTTCCAGTTACGCCAGCTTCCTCAAAGGCGAATGTTTCTCGTGCAAGAGCAACAACAGTCTTAGTTGCGGTATCATGGGTTATCATGCAGACACCAGTCCAGCTTTGGTTGGAAGGCAGGCTATGGGACAGGATATTCTGTCTCTGCTCGGGTCGAAATTCTTCTTCGCCACTGGCAAAGAAGATCCTTTTTGCAGTGAGTGTTACAAATACCTTCACCGTTGGATTTCATCGATTTTTTAAGCCCTCTATCGATCTTCAATCGATATTTTCGAATAATTGCGATTACGATTCGGTGTATATTCCTGTACGGACTTGAAGATTCCTTCTACCTTAAAGCATAGCTTCCAAAGAGAAGAAATCTGCGTTTCTAGGAAAGAACCTGATTGAACGCAATTCTAAGGAAAAAGCGAATTCCTCGTTTCGGACGTCTTAGAAATATTTCAAAGTGAATTTTAGATTCCATCGATCATCGTTTGAATTTTATCGATTCTTGCTGGAACGCTTCTGCACTGGATCGAACTTGTCGGGCAGTTCCGAGCGTAGGTGTCGCGCAATTATTTATTATTATGAATCGCGACAGCCTGCTTTCACCCTGCTTATCGTCGAGGAAAATTGCTACGTGTCTCGAAACTAATTTAACCGTGCACTACATAAGAATCCGCTAGCAACTTGCAACAGCCATTCGGCCGATCGGATAAAATGCAAATGATTTTTTTACGACCTCGAAACGATTTTTAATTCTTTATCGAGAAATAGAATCAAAGTTACCGAATAATAATAAGATAACTGATAAATAGAAAGGTGGAATTAACGAAAATTGATAACTTCGTTTTTAAGTTATTAACATGCAAATCTCGATTACTTGTCAGGGAGACATTACAGGATCACCATCGATCTTGCCCGGCCACCGAGTGCAGAAAGTTGGGTCCAAGGCTTCCTGAAAGTCACTTTTCACGCGGAAAATGACATTATTCGAGACATTGATCTCACACCTAGGTAATCTTCGTGTATCTCTATAATTCTATTAAAATTAATTCCATCGTCTCATTGGTAATCGAACGCTTCATTTTGAAATATTGCTCGTAAAAGAGGAAAACTACGATAAATACACCGTTGCCTATCGAAATGAAACCACGAAACGATAAATAAAGAAAAAAACGAATAGGAAAGGTAATTTGCCGTAGATACAGATATACAAACACGATCTCATCCATACACAGAGTGTTAATAAACGGCAGTCTGACACTCGAAGGACTTGTAGTATTCTCACCTATAGGAGTAAAACGATGTCCAATCGAAAAAGCACGCGATCTGCATATCGAAGAAATTTGAGACGATTTTAGGGCAGGCACGCAGCTTGCGGCGCTATTCTCGTCTCAACTTGCTACTTTCGCATACGGGACACGTGCTTTTTCATGGCCTCGCTTTCGCGATAACTACTTTGAACTTAATTGGCCAACTTTTTGCTTCTTTCATTCCCGCAACCGTAGCGGTTACATGAAATTGGAACATGGATCGACAGTCCGAATGGTCGTCGCTCATCCGGCCGGTGCAACCGGTGAACTTGGGAAAATTCGACGCGTCGAGCTTTCATGGACCTACGATATGGACGTGTTACAACCGAAGTCGCTCTGCTTCTTCTGGTGTAACGATCGCCTCTACGTCAACAGCGTCACAGTGGACGTTATGGAAATTCCGGGAAGAGGGTAAGCCAATTACCTTTCAACGTCAGAGGCGCCGGCTATTTTTCCTATTCCTCGACATCACGTCACGCATACGACGTATGTTCGTAACGTCGACAGTGTACACGATATTCAACATATTCAACGTTTAAAGTTACACGTAGTAATTTAATAATCGTATCGACTCGTTTATAACATTATCTTTCATATACATACATCTTTGTAAATTTGCATACGTTATTATATGCGCAGGAAAAGAGAAGCAGACTTCACCAGCAGGCTCTGTTCGGCAAGTAGACAGGAGTACGCAGAAATTGCCAGCGGTTCCACCGCGTCTTTCGTCGACAACTGCTGACAACGTCTTCAACTTAATTTAACATGCATCTGAGTACAACGTGATAGTTTGCGGTTCTCGTTCCTGTGAAAAGTATAGAAATTAAAGTGCGATCTAGTGCATATCTAACGATAAGAATCAGCAGCATGAATAATGAAAATTATGGCAGAGTCTACGAAGATCGACTGAAACCTGTATTTCACAATGATGTATTTCGTTCAGAATACGTCCACGAGTTTTCGTTTAAAAAAGAAGAAAACAAGGCAAGATTCGTTTCGACAAAAAATTTATTTAAAAAAAAAAACAACTGTAACTGTACAAATATATATATATATATACGTATTTTATATATATATATATATGTATTTGTTTATATTTGTGTATAATAGCAATTAAAAAAAAAAAATAAAACAAGTTGCACGAGTCACAGGTAAAAAAAAATCGTAAACGATAGTACATACCTATCTTTCGAAAGCGAAACACGAAACCACAATGGAATAATTTTCATATATCGTAAAAAGGAGAATATTTTGAGAAACCTAATATCGCCTTACGTATAGTACCTCGGAAGAATTCGCATTTCATTTCTTTTTTATCCTGTAAAGTGCGGTGCAATATGATTATCGAATTTGCGATGAAAATGATATACATACATATAATAATATAATGTGAGGAAAGCCGACGCGCATCTGCTGCAGTAATTAATTACCATCGATTACTTTGTACATCTTGTATATATGAAATTGGATAGATATAACTAGATAATGCTAGTGTTAGTGTAAAAGCAGGTAATCGTTACGAATGATCGACGATGGCGATAACTTGCTAACGCAAACATTTTTTGGCTCGTGTGTGAACTGTTATCTACGTAAACTTCTATACAATATTTACATAAACAAAAATACCGTCCGTTGTAACGTAATAGCGAATAATCACTTGTGATATTTCTCTCCTCTTCTGTTATACATATAATTTAAATACTACGTTTAAATATATAATTTACTGGTAACACTTTCCTCGTTAAAAATTGTACAAATCGGAATAAGCGGTCATTTGTAAATAATACGAGTATATGTATATCTTGTACTGCGTATTGTTCAAATATTTCTAACATTAAAAATCATTCTATATGATATAGCTCAATGTAAAATATAAACTTATTATGCCTATATAACGACACCGTTCCGATTAACGAATCACGATACTCTATCATGAAAAATACAATCTTTCTCTGTTTCTTTCTTTTTTATCTTTTTTCTTCTTTTCATTTCCTTTTTTCCTTCTTTTTTTTCTTTTTCTTTTTTTTTCAGGGCTTTTTCACTTTTGTAGAGAGGTAAATTTTCAAAGGCTACAGGAAAAGAAACACACTTGTACAGCTTGCTAATCTTTTGCAATGTTTACTCCTCGATAAACGTTGTACACGTGAATTCGTCGCTTATACAAAAAAGATCATCGCGGAGTGCAGCTATACACGGTAACACATGATTTTTTTTTTTTTTATCTTACACGAGATTCAACAATGATCGAGTAAAAAAGCCGTCCGCGTTTGTTCAACGCGGTAACAAGGGTTGGTAAAATATATAATATGAATATATAGCGATATACATAATATAATCTAATAATCTCTATCTGTATAACATATAATCTGCGTATAAATAATAAATAGAAAAACGAGGAGCGGGGAAAACGCGGGTGTGATTAGCTTGGTAATAACTTTAGCACTAAATTACCATTACGAACATCCACGGATCTATGGGGCCATCGTGTGCGTGTGCGTGTGTGCGTGTGTGTGCGCGCGAACGCGCGTGTGTGTGTCTGTGTGTGTGTGGGGGGGGTGGAGGAGGCGCGCGTGTGTGTCTGTGTGTGTGGGCGCGCGTGTCTGAGAGACAATGAGAAAAAAAAGAAAAGGAGAGAAAAAGAAAAACAGAAAAGTGAGAACGATAATAGAGAAACAGTGAAATAACTAACAATACGTGTGAATATACAGCTGATTCATTTGGCATAGTAGTCTAGAGCGTTCCTTTTTCTAGCGCGCAATAGAATGGTCAGTGAAGATCATCGACCCAAGCAGTTTCTAATGACTCGATAAGAGTACGAACAAAAGCCATTTCTTTTCGTGCATTTTCCAAGATCACGCGGGGATCTTGCGAGGTACAGCGCAGTATATTTGGTGCCATCACCATTGCTAAATTGTTTGCATCCATTTTAGTACGGGCAACGACTTCCGGCCTGGCGAAAATCTGCAACAAGTATTTTATACATTGTGGTAATCCCAAATGAAGAAACGAGAAACTAAGAGAAACGGGGCCACTCTACAGTGACCTCGTTAGTTTCAATTAACCTCCTCTGACAAATTTACGGCAAGAATGACAGTTGATCGTTTGATTAATACCGACGATTAACGTTAAAGTTCCCTAATGTAAATAGGGGCGCACTTTGATCAACGATTCGCTACTTTGACAGTTGAGCGATAAGAATGCGTATCTTTAATAATCGATAATTCATACTTCGCATTCAGTAATCGTGGATAAGTAAGACTAACACTGATAGCTAAGAATACCAACCTGAAGGAATCGTATTAGATGACAAAGAACACGACGATTCAAATCAGGCAGACGATCTACAAGCGCGGCGACATTGGCTGCGGAAGCTTCGGCATCATCGTGCCTCATCGACACGCATTCCGTGTAAAAGGAATCAGGTATCAACGGTTCGTAAAGCTCTCGAACCCATAATTTTAACAAAGATGCGGGTGCATGAGCATCTTGAGAAGCTGCCAAAATCGTACCATCCTCGAACCTGTCCAGGCACGACTTCAAAGCACTGACCTCGTCCGCGTCCGCGGACACTCTGAATATCCCCTCCGTCAAGATACCACCTCGAGCAAGCACTTGACGCGTCAACGTGGTCTGTATCCATGGTAACTCTCGATTTGGGAATCTGTCTCTCTGCAGGGCCATTACTTCCGATAACGTCGCCCCAAACATGGACGCCCGGAAAATCTGAATCTATGATTAAATTAAAAGCGAATGAATATCCATTCCATAGTATGAAGAAATTTACGGTAACGCTGTGTTGGTCACTTGTAAAATGTAAACAAATAAAATAAGATATAAGACAATAAAGTAAAATAAGGTTGCGTAGTGAAAGGAAGAAACATACTCTCGCTTGATCGATATCTTCTATAGTAGCCTTGCGAGGCTGTCGCTTGCCATGTGCTCCAATTCGTTGTAAACGACGGCAGGCGACGGTTGCATAATGACTAACTTGCACGTGAATAGGCCACTTGGCCACTTCCGAAAACTGAAAATTCGGATCACGATGTCTGTTCATATAGCCTTCGAGATAAGGCTCGAACGTAGCGCTGGGCGGCACGAATGCCAGACAGACAGCCATCAATTCCCAACCTCTACGTAAACTTTCTTTCCTTGGATTCTCTGTAGTTTGTCTACATATCTGGACGTATAATTCGTCCCGTAATGGCGGCTTCGAATACGCTGTATTCACAATGTCCATAGCTACACTGTCTAATGTCATTCCTACGTTAGCTTTCCGATCGCCCATGTACACTTGCACCAGCCTAAACAGATTGCAGGCTTCCCGTTTCAGTAACTTTTCACCATCTACGACTACCAGCATTGGCTGTGGTATAGGATCTTTAGACCAACTGAGAATGTCGCGCACGCTGAACTTCTTCCGGAACAACAATCTCAGTCCCTTCGGCCGTCCGCAGTTCAGGTTAAGATTGTCTTGTGCGTATTTCTCGATATCGCCACCGCCCGCGCTGTCATCTCGCCTCGCCTCGTCCACGTCTGTGTTGTCCACGCCGATACCAACGCTAGGAACAGAACTTATCGCGGTAGACGGTGGAACTGGCGGCTGTCTTGTAGTTGCTGTCACGGTTTCTCTTGTATCGGCTTGCGAGGCGATATTCGGTGGCGACGGTGGTCGTACTTGTGGCCTCGTTAGGGTGTCAGCAGTATTGTAATACGTCGCTAATCCAGCAGTATCGTAGTTACCCAAATCTACAATAATAATATAAATATCATTTCAACGTACTGAGATACATATTTTTACGAATATAATTAAATCCACGTTCCTCTTAGTTACTGGATAAATAATAACTAACCTGCATAGTGATCTTCGAGGTATTCTTGACTGGACGAATCACCTTGATTGCTCGCTGCTTCGTCATCCGCAAATTGATCGTCGGAATCGTCATCGGCTCTTCCACCAATACCTTCGCCTCTTCCACCCTCTTCGTCCAAAGAATCGTCACCTTCTTCTACTAACAACGGATCCCCAAACTTGTAACAACCTATAAAATTATTATTTTATTATATAAAAGTGTTATTAATTATCTAAGGTACAGTTATGCTTTCACTATTGTAGACGTGCCTGAGAGTTTTGCTTGCTGAAGAATATAATGCTGAAGCGGCAACAAATGATCGTCGTCAGGTAACAGATTTCCATAAAAGCACGGAGGTGGACTCGGATTACCATTACTCCTCTTCTTTTTACTATCATCTACCTCTGTGAGCCCTTCTGTTTCTTCGCCCACAGCGCTATTGCTGCTACTATTACTGCTATTGCTACTGCTAGTATTACTACTAAGCCTTTGTCTAGGTTGTTCGTGACTCTGACTAATAAGATAACGCTCGTGCATAGAATCATCGTCCCTATCTCTTCTTCTTGACTGTTGCTGCTGCTGCTGCTGCTGATGCTGTTGCTGCTGCTGCTGCTGCTGCTGCTGCTGCTGCTGATGATGATGCAATTGTTGCAGCTTTTGTTGCTGTTTCTGCTGCTGTACAAAACTGTAACTGCGAGCCAGTGGCTGCGGCATGCCTTAAAAGATATAAGAAAAGAGAATGGATTAAAATACAAGATACCGATGATTAATTAATTTTAAAGGAACATGAATTATCGTCGTACTTACAATCCAACGAATTGTTACATGCAGTATTCCTTCTATATTCTTTTTCTCTATCACGCTCTCGTTCTCTTTCTCGTTCTGCAACCTCGAGGCTTCTCTGCTTCGACGTATTGCTCAAAACGCCCACACCTCTGACAAGGCTCTTCGAAGGCTCATTTCTTTCGGCTAACATTGCGCCGTACATATCTCTAACATTCGCTTCTGAAAGCGACACTGAACATCCATGATGCCTTCTACCTATACTACCAGTATTATCTTGCTTATTCATATTACGCGGATGCATGGAACTTGGATAAAAGGCTGAAGTGTTTGTTTTGTCCAAACTATTTACTCTTTCCCTATGATGAATCTCCCTTTCCCTATCTCTATCTCTA